CTGCCAGGACACAGCCTGCTGAGCCCGCTAACGGAAACGTGAGCCCTCCAGGCTATCGGACCACTATCAAAGGACTCAGCGCACATCCTCTTCCATGCAGATAAAACTTTGCCTCTGTCCCCCGCTACAGCATCTCATTGCTGCCAGGTGCCCCCTCGCTGTGACGGGTGCTGTGTTGTGACAGGAGGAAAGGAGTCCCTGTCCTGAAACCCTGCTCAAAGCAGGTGGCTTTGGTGCACAGGGAGGGGACAGGGGCTGCAGCAAAGGCAGGGCTCTCCCCACCCCAGCTCTGCATTAGGAGGTGTTAGCTACCAGCTCCCCAGCTCCTGCCCAGCCACGTGGGTCGGCAGCCACCAGCCTGCTCCAGCCTCCCGCGAGAGGCAGAGCTCAGCCTGAGGTCTTGAGCTCGCTCTTCAAAGCTCTGCCCAGAGAGCCACCCAAGGGAGCAACACACCCACAGACCAGTACGGGTGCTTTAATGCCACATACGAAAAGCCTCAAAGTAAAGAGGTTCAGATGGGCTGAACTTCTGACCTAAGAGGAACGGCACCAGACACCATCACTCATCAGCTTCCCAGTCACTCTGCTGGCATCCAAGTACCCCCAGGCTCCTGGGAGCTGGTTTGGAGCTAGCGCAACTCAACTCCTAAGTCAGCCCAGAAGACAAAAGCAGGCAGGAGAGATGGTGAGAACCCAGCAGAAAGAAGGAAAGGAAGAATTTGAAGCTAATCACCATCACAGGCACAACACGCATTGCAATGGGGATCTTCTCTTCAGCCCAGAGATTCATAGACTGTTTTTTACGAAGCAAAAAGTGTACTTCAGCAGCAGGATTACACTTACAGCACGGGAGGCTGCCCCTGTCTGTAATGCTGAATTCCAGAAAACATTTGGGTGTTTGCATATCAAAATGGCGATACAAAACTTGTCACCTAAAGCAGTGTTTTCTGTGCTGGCAACAGCTGGCTGACCACACAGGGAGAACGTGTTGGCCAGCGGTGGCTGGGGAGGGCAGAGCAGGTTGACTTCTGGACTCCAAATCCCTCATGAGCTCCCTACCCCCAACTTTGCATGTGCATCCACATCCTCAGCCCAGGCCTTTTTCTGTACTTTACTCAGAGATTAACCGTTGAGAAATCACCCCCCTAAATACACACGCTGTCTCCAAGCCCAGGATCAGAGCCAGGGCTCCCAGGGAAAAGCCCTGGGGAAGCGATGGGAAGGAAGGAGGAAGGGGAAGGCATTCCCACTCCCCAGCCACTGCTGCTGGCTCAGGGCCACGGAGCAGCATTTCCTTGGCCTTCCCGGCTGCGATGTGAAGAGCTTTGTGCACAGTGGGGCTCGGCAGCCCCGAAGAGGAGCCTGTGAAGCATCTCCCCCAGCCCTCTCCAGCCCAACCCAGCCTCTCCGCTGTGAGGGCCGAGTGCCTTCGCCAGCCCCGTAACCAGACCCCCTGGAACTAATCCGGGACCAGCTTCTCAGCTGCTCCGACCCCCCTGCTGCCAGGTCTCATTCCCTGATGTCCTCCAAACAAGGAAAACAGAGCTGGATCAAACGTGGGGACCACACACCCTCCTGGCTGGGCCCCGCCGGACAGCCGGTACCAGGCAGAGTGCAGCCGCGGAGCCCGTCAGCTCTTTGAGCGATGCTCTGGTGATATCTAGAGTAGCTCTTCCAGGATCAAATGCCTAAGGTTAACAGTCCAGATTTGAGAGGCCAAGCTCAGGGACACCAGAAAACCTGCAGCTTTGGAGGCTACAGAAGGGGATGGGGGGAAAACAAGCTGCTGTTTCTTCCAGTGCAAGCGTGAGCAAGATCCCTTCTCTTGGCAAGCAGCAACCACGGGCCATCCCAGCAGAGCCAAGGTGGGATCACAGCCGGCTCCAGGACTCTGGGGACAGGGGTGGGAGGAGAGGCAGGGGTAACCGCAGAGGCAGCTCCGATGTGCTGACTAGCGGGGATGGTTGGCAAGGAGGGGAGAGCGCACAGGGAGTACCAGAGCTGAGCTGGACACGCTTTCTGGGCAATATCTATCCCGCTGCTGCCCTTTCTCCCTCTGCCCACACCACTCCCGTGTTCCCATCCCTGGCCATGGGAACCAAGGGTGCCAGGGATGCGACCCACGGGCTTTTGGCAGTGGGTCCAAGCAGGCAGGACGAGCTGCCCCACAGCTGTGGGGCTGCTCCTCCAGCAAAGCAGAGCAGGGCAGCAGGGAGGGCTGGCACCGGGCGCAGGTCGCAGGGTGAGGGCAGGATGCTGGGCTCTTAGAGATGCCAGGATCCTCATTGCTCATGTTCATTAACGAGCTTCAGCTCGGTCCTACCCAAACACCACATCCACTCTGCCCAGCACCCATCCAAGACTGGGCTGCTACAGATTTGACCCAGGATTTTGGTGGCGTGGGAGGGGATGGTTGCTGTTAAAATATCGGCCCCGCTTCCACCCCTGCGAGCCACAGGCCAGCGCAGGGAACAAGTCCCCTGGAACCAGCACGTGGAAGCCGGC